GAAAGCGTGTACTGGGTGTACTGGGATAACTCGGCGTGCCGCTTGGTTGTTATCGAGCGAACAATCCCTTTTGGTCGGGAGTCACCAGCGACCTGGATAGACACGCCTCTCGTTGGAAGAGGCGTCACCCGTCCATCTTTGCCAGAGCGATGGTTTGAAATATGTTTCTAGCCGCGAAGTTATGGTATGTTCTGCAAGGAATACACTCTGCTGTCATGAGCATGCAGAAGTTTTTCGGAGTGTTTGACTTTTTCATCGGAAGATCCAGTGTCGAGTGGATGAGGCAAGATAACATTTTTCACCATGCGCGTGACGGTGGTTTGACATTTGTTTGTGACGCAGATTGTGGCACGTTTCATGTTTCTGCGTAATCAAGAGCATCCTCTCTCTCACGTGTTTGTTCAAACAAGGCAGCCAACACATCTGCCGACTTTCCTTGTGTCTTCTTGTCTCGGTCAAGGAGGAAGAGTCTTTGGATTGTTTGGGGTGAATAGGAAAAGCTTTCTTACGAATAGTTAACCAGTATTTTCTGAACGTCGCTCTGTCGAAGTGCCGTTTGTCAGGGTGGCAAAGATGTGCAGAAGCGAGGTAAGCGTATGTGTATTCCTCCATTTGTAAAGGCTTTCTTCAAATTGCTCACCAATACTCCTGCCAATGTGTGACTCAGAAAAAGGGCGTGGCGTGGTCGACTGAGTATCTTTTGAGCAAACAGCCGAAAACCACCGAACATGTTTTCATTTTCTGCAGGGACGCTTCATTTTTTGGGACATTCTACTACGCACGTTGAGAAAGCAATTAGGCATTTGTTCTGCCGCCATTTTTCTTAACATGATCAATGATGATTGTGCCCCATATGACATGTGTTTTACTTTGGATACTATCCAGCATATGGGGACTACGCATGCCAATCAGGCACGCCAACGGCATTGCGAAAGAAGAACATTTCTACTTTTCCAGCATAATTAGGCAAGTGAAAGGTCTATTTCCTCCTCGGTGAGCCTAATCTCGAGTGAGCAGACATGTGTAAGGTGCTTCTTTTATGACCACCTCTTAAAACGCCCTAAAAAAAAAAAACAAAAAAAAACACGCAGTGTATTTTTAATGTAAAGTGACTTGTGCAATCTGATTCTTGCAAAAAAGATAAAAACAAAACGGTGTGGTGTAGTGGTTAGCATACCGGATCAGATGTTGCGAGACCCGGACTTTAAATCACGTTTCCGCTAAAGATTTTGTCCTTCGGCGGCTTTGTGTCATTCGATCAACTTGAATCAGTGCGGTTCCTTCATCCGGATGTTTTCTAATATTGTAGTTAATTACGAAAACATTCATTAAAATCGTATTATTGGCAGTGGTGAAGAATCTCGCTTGGGCACTATTTACGCGATGTTGTTCGCAGATGTTACCGGTGAAAGAGTACAATAATTTAACTATGCACGCGGACCACTTTTCGTAGCTATACGGCAGTCAAATGAACTGGGACCCGTGCTTGAACACCAAATAAAGCCGCGCACGCGCAATCTTCTCGTCGAAGTTGTCGCAGAAAATCGTCCACGAATATAATTGGCGCGACGAACACGACTCTAAATGATATGAGCGCCAAGAAGCAACAGACTACGAGAAGAAGCGAACTGTGCGCTTGGTCTTTTTTTTATTCTAGTTTTTTGTCGGATATGGCGGTGTTATCATTTCCAGTTTAAACTGGTGAGAAGACCCGCGTAGCCGATCGCATACGGCGTCCGTCGCCCGGGACAAGGATCAGATGCTGCGGGGCCGGTGAGTGTGCGAGCAGGAAAGAAATCCAGTGCGGTGCCGTACATGCCTCGCTTCGGTTCTCCGTGGTATTGGCTCACACAGGGCCGTGTGGTCTTAAGTTACTCTTGTCCCACATCGTGCAAAAAAGGTTGTGTTCACTGGAGACACGATGAACAACGAACCCGCGGACACGTGCACGCTCGACGCAAGTTTGCTTATGTTTCGACCATGTGAGCAGACAGTTCTTGCAGGAGCAATGGGACTGCATTACAAGGAGGACAGAAAACACTGTCAGCAGGTTGTCTTTTGTACTCTGCATTAGCAGTGGGACCTCTGTTTTAGATGTTTGTCAAGTTTAGGCGGGCGCCGCATCCACCATGAGCTCGCTGCTTGTAAGGTGAAAGAGTCCTAGTCGGAGTAACACATGTCGGCTTCGACGACTTCGGGGCTTTAATTACAAGGAAATGAGAGTGAGTCTCACACATTACGTTGTGCAGAAATAAACGTCGTCGACGGCATTACAATTTCAGATTAACGGAGAAATAAGAAGGAAAAAAGAACACCTGTAGTTGAGGTTCTCGGAGCGATTTTGCTTAAGCATTTTTAAAGCAACTTCCCAGTGACTTTTGGGGGCAAGGAATGTTCGCCACATTGTTGATGCTGAATGAATGCCAAGAGGGAAAGTCTGCTTGGTCAATGATCTCTGACATAAGGCATCATACGTGATATTTTATGCACTAAAATATATAAATGGTGCTACATTTGAACTAGCAGTATAAAATAATAGGCGAAACTAAAATTCCCTAAAAATAACGTTAAGCTCGCAGGATTGTTTGCAATATCGTTCATGAATAGTGTGTGTAAGAGCCTTAGAAGTAAAATATTTGAGACTCCTTGCCGATCACGAGAGGCGAACATATTTTCGAATTCTTATAATTTGAAGTCGCCCCAATTTTTTTGTCTCGCTGAATCATTGCGTGATATAAAATCCAGTTGGTACTATTTAACACTGATAAACTATCTAGTCTTTAATATTAAAAAAAATACTTTGAGAAGAAATATGGCTTGAACATAGGCTAACATCGTTCTTGGCACACAAAAGCATTTTAACATCCCTTTTCGAGCCTGTTCTTAGGGCTAAAAAAAACGGACTTCGAGGAACACTTAACGCGTAACCGAAATAAATACAACCGGAATAGTAAAAAAAAAAAAAAAATATAAATTAACGGGAAAATAGAATGTCGAGCCAAGGGGACCACACGTCCAGCTGAGGAATTTTTTTTCTTTTTTATCTCGCTGAGATCTTCAACACCTTGCCTACTCATTTTTTTTTTCTTCAAGTAATGTACAGAAACATTTTATTTTAAACAGGAAATTTGCATTACGATAAGGCAAAAATATTTCTTTCTCTTCTAGGTGTCATACTCTGCTCTAACTCAGGACTTGTTGTCTGAGTCCCACTGGAGCGCAGACGCCGAAGTTGATTAATGCTTCCAGAATTCACATCAATTTCATCACTCCTATCACTGCCAATCAAACCATCATCCGAATTCTAAAAATAGAAAGGTCCGAAGGATTCGTCGTCACATATGCCTGAGCCTTCATTCCATTCAAGAAGAAGGTTTTGTATTTTTTTGTCGGCTAAAGTGAACCTGCGCGCCAAGGCCATGTTGTTTCAGCGCGGACGGTCCAAAGTGACGTTTTTTTTTTTTCATGGCTCAATGAAGCATTCTTTCTCACTGTCAAACAGCAGAACAAACGTGCAAACTGCCCAAGGTAACCAGAGCCACAGGGGTGGTTTTGCCATCTGCCAGAGAGCGTGCTAAGCAAGCGCCGAAACCGAAATCGTGGTCGGGCTCTACGGTCGGTAAGGGGTGACACGAGTGAAACTCGTAATTATCTATCAAGGGGCTAAGGAGACCTTTCTAGCTCCTTGTGAGGTCAACCAAACCATGCCTAAAAAAAGCACAAATTATCTTTGAAATGTTCGCTTTACGGCCGGCTTGCTAGAAATAGCGTCTCAGCTGAGACTGCGTGAAAGAAAGCACCACCAAAGCCAGCGCACGAGCTGAGCGGGACTCAAACTGCGTATCAACACGATCGCACGCCCGAGTTTGCATTATTTTTTTTTTCACTCTGTCTCAGCGTTGACGTTGTTTTAGCAAGCCATCCCTGTTGTTTCGGATTCGATGGAAAAAATTAGTCCCATTTTTATGACCCGCATTAATGTACTACGAGACACGGAAAGCTAGAACTTTGCCAGAATATGACGCTAGAGGTGGGTATATGTTGCCAGAGTTTGAGAGCATGACGTTATTTGAATAAAAAAAAAATAAAACAGAAATAAATCTTGTCTAAAATGTCCTTTATTTATTTATTTATTTATCTGTTTAACTTTTGTGGGGCTTCCCAAAAACCCGTAGGCCTGGGAATGTTTCCACCTATTGTCAGGCAGACACCAACAACATAATACGCCGGCAAGTTGTTTTTACTCAATTCAGTGGCACAAACGCCCGCAATGACAGTTTTTGGTATGGCGAATTGAATGTCGGCCGGCTCATGGACAAATGTTCTTTTTCTGATTTATTGTATGATTCTGGTACCGTTATGATCTCAAACTTTCACGCCCTATAACAACTGCAAGCGTCACATTCTCATAAATTTCCTGTTTTTTTTTTCTCGATACGTAATTCATTTATGCAGGCCAAAAAAAAAAAAAAAAACGGATTTTATTTTACCTGATTGAGCTGGCAGCATACGGAAATTTTTTCTGGGTAAGTCTGCAGGCCATTTTCGACGCATTGATTATCGCGTTTTCATAGCCGCAACACTGTCTGATTTATGGAGGGCGGACACGTCTCAGGTATACACACCTTTCTGATTCACACGCAATCCTTTCGCTGGTTTCCAAATTTCCTTACGCAAATAGGGTAAGCAGGTGTAGGCTAGCGCGCGATTCAGTGAAACGAAATTACCTCAGCCCTCGCCCCCTTTTCCTTTCAATCCCCACGTAAACGGGGCCATGAGACGTCATTGACAGGTTCCGAGATTGACCTCTTAGCTTCCTCCACCAGCTTCTCAAAACACACGACCCGGTAAATTGCGCCCTGATTACGTGTTCCGTTCATGTACGACAAGAACTTCACCGGGAGTGTCATGCAGGCGACATTGCTTACAGCAAGTGTTGGTCTGCCGGTCAACGATTTTTCTCTACTAGTGGATAGATATTTGGAACAATCTTTACTTACGCGATGTCAACGAACGGCTGTAGTGTCGCGGTTGTGTTTGTTATAAAAGCAGGAAGATCACGGATGAACTTCGGATGGGCGATGCGAATCATTGTGCTTGGTTGTAACGTGGGGATTACGGTCGCCAAAAAACTTTTCCAGTCCCATTCCTAGAGAGAAAAAAAAAAAGATTCCCACATAAATGGAAGAAATAAAAGCATTCTATGAAAGTGGCTTACCACCACTAATTTCTAACTAGACGCTCTCAGCAGGGCTTCTCGGTTGCTATAAATTTCTGCAAGAAGGCATGCTATAACTTACGAATATCTCGGGGGATAACGATTGAATATAGTCTACAGAAATAAATGAAATATCGGTATTCATGAACCGCGATTGCTTTCCTGCGAATTGCTTTCAACATAAAGTCCATTGCGGAGCTTGCGTGGTGCAGCCATTCACGGCGTTCAGGGAGAAAAGCTTGTCGAGGAAATCAACGTCCTCTGGTCACGCAAAAGAAACGCCTAACTTGGCAGAAGCTTGGAAATCCTATACGGACCTTATTTGGCCCTAATACGGTTTCACTCGCAGGGACTATTTAGTGCCGTAGTGCTTTCTTTCTTTTTGCTTTTCTATGACTTTTTTCTTGATTTGTCACGTAATTGGGGAAGTTACAGACTTCCACGATGCCACTTATCAATCAAAGTACCAGGAGCCGAACCTAAATATGTCACGTGTTTGGCGATGTAGGCCCAAAGATACCAAATAACCACCATTCATCCAGGCCAGTGGAGCCCTATTTTGGTACTTGTTTAGCAATTTACAGCCTTAAGATGCCGCGATTCTGTCCAAAGAAGGTCAAGTTTGGCCCCACTTCGAGTTCTTCGGGCTTTTCAAGGCGCCCGAATTTCGGGACAAAAAACACATTTTGACCCAAGGAACTGTGCTAGTGGACACTATTTTTCTCTTGAAATTTTTATTGTCTACAGTGCGCTCAAACTTCCTAGCAGGAGAAGAAAAATGCTCTCACTCACAGGTGTGTTCAATTGTTCAAGGTCTTCAGCTTTAGATATCTCCGGCAAGTTACCCTTGAGAGTCGTCGTCGTGCTGGTAACGAACTAGATAAAATAGAGAAAGAAATTGAAAACGTCATTCGACAAAATATTCACCGCTGATATTTAAAATAAAATGAAATTGTATTTTAATATGGCGATTTTTTGGTTAGCGCAATATAAATAAATACACCCTGCCGGTTTCAGACAAAGTGATAAATAATGAAAAAATTAATAACACTATACAACTTCAGCAAATTCGATAAATAGTTTCTGGACGTAAATAGCCTAAAGAAAAGACCATACCCCTGGGCAATAAAGATTGGTTCGACAGCTGGCGCCATTTCGTGCGGGACATTTTGCAACTCTGAGACGGCTGGCGGCTGCAATTATTAAACCCGATCTCGAGCTTGAATTTCCGAGTGCTCCGCCGAACTCTGACGCGGACCTCGCGTTCAATCGTTCGGTGGATGGGCCTACTCAAAGTTGCCCATTCTGGCCACTAGCTGCGCTGACTAGAAGCTGACCGGGACGCCTCTTGTACACTGACTTGGGGCCATTCTACATTTCACTTTAAAAGAGAGCCGAAACACTTTATCAAAAAATGATAGGGAGGCTGATTATAGCATAGTTTTATCCCGTGAATTTGAATATCAGGTTCGTTTTCCCCGAAGATGTAACTGAAAGCGAGAAAACACGAAAAAACCCCGATCGGTCGTGACGTCAGAAGAGGATCTTTCAACCGCCAAGCGCGTGTCGAAACGTCTTCTGCCTTTTTGAAACATAGCGAGAGTGAGCGTGCATAGCTTTGATAAGTGCTCAAGATGCGCGAGAGCAGAGATTCCGCAAACTCTATTTAAAACGTCACGCTCCGGGAAGGAGCGCCATCGGCGGTACTTTGAATAAGATTTTCGGCAGCCCGCATGCCCCTAACTAAATAAAAATTATTTCGATATTCGAGAATTAGGGCCTCTAAACTCGTCAAACACAAAGTTGGGGTTGAATTTGAGGAAGCGCACCGATTGGCCTATCACGACGATGATTTCGCGCTTTTTACGCCAACGTCCAGTTGGCACGCTCCGCAAACTTTCGGCTCCAACTTTGTGTTTCACGAGCTTAGCGGTCCCTAAACTCGTCAAACAAAATGTTGGACTCCTCTCTGCCGGCGGAAACTACAAGTGATGTTCCTTAGCTCCTGCGTCGATGGAAATCCACAATTAACTGCACTGGAAGACTGGACAGGAGTATGTCCGCCATCACTGTGACGTACGTTGAACTTGAAATGTCCAAGGAGCGCAAGCCACGAATATTTTTCTGGACGAGATCGTACACGTTACGCAGTCTTTTGATATCTTGCACACTTCACCGCTGGAAGGTTTCAGATTTGTTCCAGCTATTCCCAATGAGTTTTTCACTTGTCGCCAAAGCGTTAAATCAACATTTTTAGTGCATGATTGTAGCACGCTAACACAGCCTGCAGCCCGGACACGGCACTGGCGGCAGGCCCGATAAGGAGTGACCGCAAGTACTGTAATTTTTTTCCATCAGAGAGCTTGATGTTCCGATCCATTGAGACATCAAATTGCTTCCAGAGTGGTTGCCACTTCGTGAGCTCTCTTTGGTAGTGTAGAACTTGCAGTATGGGATGCTTCACTCTCGTAGCCTGGGATGAGTGGCCTCTTTCGCCATCGGCTCCCGTAGCGAGTGTGGTCGGCGTTGCCTGTAGCCGCTCGATCTTGTTGCGCAGTTCGCTGAGGGTTCAAGACACCTTGTCTTCATATTCTGCGACAGTGACGTAAAGTACCGCCAGGTCAATATCGCTGATCTGTAGTTCAATCTCCTCGTAGACCTTACGGACTTCCTCATTGCTCGTCACCAGTGTCTCTCGCAGGTTCTCGAGACAAGCAGCGTCAACGGTGACGAACTGGATTATGGTCGTTATTTAGTTGATTATCTCGGTGTTCTCACTGCGTCCGATATTACGTTTGGTCTTGAGCCAATTTATTCTTAAGATAATTCCTCACGTCAAAGTCCCGTGTTCCGGCATTAAGTAATTTTTCCACTTTGAAGCGCTTGCTGGCTAGGTATTTGTTGATGACATTAAGGTGGAGGTAGATTCAGACCACAACAGGCTTGCCTTAAACTGTTCCTCCCACCGCTCACTCTTTCGCGCACTCAATTCGCTCATTGCCATCGTCTTCTTTTCACTCCAGACTAAATGTCTCATGGCAGTGGTGTTCATTGTTCGATTTTCAACAGAGCCCACATCTTTGTAAACTTTGCCCCTGCAATGTCGAGGTATGACCCACTGGAATTTCACATGGTTAGACTAACTCGGGCACGCCCACGCTTCGCCGCCGTGTAGCCCTCATATCGCATTTGGTCACCGAAAGAGTCGAGGTACACTGTTAGAAAATTCCATCAATCTACGTGGAAAAATTGAATAGAACATGTCCCGTTTTCTGGAAATGCATACAATGTGCTGTTTGCTTTCAAAAACGGGAATTGTACCATGTGCAATGAAATGTGCTATTTAGGCAATAAGTATGAGCTTATCCGTATAAATAAAAAAAGCCTTACAAGACTACAGTTTATAGTCGGTTCAACTGGTATAAGCGAATTGGACGTGCCCAAAAGTGCCGGATATCCAGCAATTTTTTTGGAACTCTATCAGACCGCGGAAGTACAGTGCCCGCGAGCCGTGTTACGCCGCGCGCAGGAAGACATCTCTCACCCGCGCATGCGCAAGCCGCTGCCGGCCGGCGTGGGCCCGTGAGCTGCGGAGTGCTGCTGCCCGTTCGGAAGGCGAGTTCGACGTTGTTATCGCGTCATCAGAGGCGTTCAGCGGTGCGTAGACGGCTTTGTTTTCCAAGGTACGTATACGTTAAGTTGTTCCTAACGCAGTGTTATTTTACTATCTCTAACCGCTCATTCACACTGGAAGCGGATCCGCGTTCGCAAAGCGGTTGCGAACGCGGTTGTATAAGGATCCAGTACAATTGCACGCGCGGTTGAGGTCATCAAGTGCGCGTGCAATTGTACTGGATCTTTATACAACCGCGTTCGCAACCGCTTTGCGAACACGGATCCGCTTCCAGTGTGAATGAGCGGTAAGGGTGTCGTATATTCCAAGTCCGGGATGCCCAGCGTGTAGCGTCTCGTCTTCCCAGCTGCATAAAGCTAGGCCTTTTATAGTTCCTGATTCGGGGCGGCATACTGCCCGACCCTACTTAGTATTGATGGTATGCTGCGCTGCGTAGTTACGCGGTAAAAAACTGGAGAAATGAAGTTAATGCAGAAGGACAGACAAAAACATGCATGAATTGGCGCAGACTAACAACTGTTTAATTTATTTCTCTTCTTTCTCCCCCGACCCGTATTTCCCAAATTGCGGCTAAGAAAACGAATGGTTGTTGTCTTGAATTTGTTGGCTTCTGAACTTGATGGTGTTTGCTGTAGCTGCCCCTTTGATATACGAACTGGATGGTGTGTTTTTTGTAGCATTTACCTGGGGCCTGATGTTTGCTCCGACAAGTTTGGTATCTTATTGAGTAGATCTATTTCTTCTTGTCGCAAAGCTAGTGATGGCTCACTGACGCACACTCCGTGTCTACCCGAGGCCATGTGAAAAGCCTCGATTATTTCACGCTTTGTTCTGTCCTTTGATCTGACCAAGATGGAAGTAGTGTCAAGGAGAGCTTTGCAGTTGCATTTTGAACAATGCGCTGCAAGGTTGCCAGGTGCTTGCTGTTGTCCGCATGCGTGGTTGTGCTCCATTAGTCTGTCGTTAAGGCATCTCCCAGTCTGCCCGACGTAGGATCTTCCACACGACAGTGGTATTTTGTATACCACACCTTCGACACATTCAACAAATTTGCTCCTGTGTTTCACTTGACACAGTGCCTTGCTGTTAGTCTCGTCCACTTCATTGTTGACCTTCCTGCATATTCCTTTGAGCCTGAAAGGGGCAGATAGTGACACTCTGACTTCGTACCTTACGGCGATGTTTTTTATCCTGTGTGAAAAATTGTGTATATATGGCAGTACCACCATTGGTCTTTTGTCCAAGATCTCCTTGGTTTTGCACTTTCCTGTGAGTGTGGAAATACATTTTTCTGCTACAGCTACCAGTATGGGTTCAGGATAATCGCTTGCGTGTAGTCTGCTTGTCTGCCTCTGTAAAATTTCTGAGACATTGTGGTGACACGATTTTTGAATTGCTCGCCACATGCATCCCTAGGCAACACTCCTCTTTACTAACTTTGTGTGTCCAGAGTCATACGGCAGAATTCGTTTTTTTCCTCTAGTTTTGTACATCCAGCATGTGTGTCTGTAATCAAAAGTCATGTGGATGTCCAAGAATTGAAGGCTGCTTTTCTCAGGTAACTCAAAAGTAAAATCCAGTCTTCTGTGCGCTTCTCGAAACTTCTCCATGATCTTTGAACATGCCTTGTCTGTTAGTTTGTGTATTGGAAAACACACCGAAAAATCGTCTACATATCTAAAGCACTTGCTGACTCCATTTTTCTGGAAAAACCCCTGTAGTTCTCTATTTCCTTTTGCCATGTACAGGTGGTACTGCCATAAATACACAATTTTTCACACAGGATAAAAAAACATCGCCGCAAGGTACGAAGTCAGAGTGTCACTATCTGCCCCTTTCAGGCTCCAAGGATTATGCAGGAAGGTGAACAATGAAGTGGACGAGACTAACAGCAAGGCACTGTGTCAAGTGAAACACAGGAGCAAATTTGTTGAATGTGTCGAAGGTGTGGTATACAAAATACCACTGTCGTGTGGAAGACCCTACGTCGGGCAGACTGGAAGATGCCTTAACGAGAGACTAAGGGAGCGCAACCATGCATGCGGACAACTGCAAGCACCTGGCAACCTTGCAGCGCATTGTTCAAAATGCAACTGCAAAGCTCTCCTTGACACTACTTCCATCTTGGCCAGATCAAAGGACAGAACAAAGCGTGAAATAATCGAGGCTTTTCACATGGCCTCGGGTAGACACGGAGCGTGCGTCAGTGAGCCATCACTAGTTTTGCGACAAGAAGAAATAG